ATCTGCTATCATATGGTAATTCAATGTGTTCTCAGTCCATTTTTATAGTTTTTATATTTTTACAGAAAGCCTCTTCAAGCCTAAGTGGTTTATTTACCAGTCACTAACCATACCCTGTTTTTATACCTCTATATATTTTTAGCCAAACCTCAGAGTTGTTTCAAAGTCCAGTCCAAAATCTCACCTTTTTTGTGAGTCTTCCTACCCTTTCTCAGCCTAAAGTGATTTGATTTGCCATAACACTTTGCATCTTGTCTGTGGCATTAATTCCGTATTTAACAGGGAAATATAGTCTGGTTTCACTTATGTTGTGGCAGTTGTTACTCTAGTCTTGTGCTTTTTTTTTTTTTTTAAACATATAATGTATTATTTGCCCCAGGGGTACAGGTCTGTGAATTATCAGGCTTACACATTTCATAGCACTCACCATAGCATATACCCTCCCCAATGTCCATAATCTAGCCACCCTATCCCTTCCTTCCCCCACCCCATCAACCTTCAGTTTGTTACTGAGATTAAGAGTCTCTTATGGTTTGCCTCCCTCCCCGGTCTCATCTTATTTCATTTTTTCCCCTCTCTACCCCCCTTGACCCCTTGCCCCCTGCCCCGTCTCTCAAATTCCTCATATCAGAAAGATCATATGATACTTGTCCTTCTCTGATTGACTTATTTTGCTTAGCATGATACCCTCTAGGTTCCATCCAGGTCATTGCAAATGGCAAGACTTCGTTTCTTTTGATGGCTGCATAGTATTCCTGTGTGTGTGTGTGTGTGTGTGTGTGTGTGTGTGTGTGTGTGTGTCTTTTTACAACTTTGTCTTTTGTTTTCCCAACTAGACTATACATTTCTTAAAGGCAAGGACCTTACATTAAAATCTATACTTTCTTATGTGGCATTCGGTATAATATTTGAAACATAAGAGAGGTCTAACTTTTGCATTTTTTTGTAGGTATTAAAGATCTTGTTAAAATTAAAGATCTGTTAAAGTACATGATGCTCTCTAAAGAAGTTCATCCAACTCAGAGGATAGGATCAATTGCATATAAACTTAGAGAAGTACTACACCAAAAAAATAAGACACTTTAGGTACATACTTTGGTTTCTTTCTTGCCATTGCTGACTATTACTCTTCCATAATTTACTTTTTCATTATTAAATTAATATATTAATCTAACCACACAACAGAAAATCTGAAAAACAGAATAAGATAACCTATTAAACTGCTTTCACACAACCATTACTATAGTTTGTATATGTATATATATATATGTATATATATATATACAGTTTGATATATTTTTTTCTAATTTTTTAAGATGATTGCATTGTATAACATATTGTTTTAATTTCTTTTTTTAATAGTTAATATGACTGAACACTTAAATGTGTTTTTTTCTTCTAACAGAATCTTCATAACCATCATTTTTGTTGGCTGTATAATATTCTATGCAGTTTTATTTAGCTGATTTCTGGAATAATATGTCTTTGTCTTTTTTTTTTTAAGATTTTATTTATTTATTTGACAGAGAAAGACAAAGTGAGAGAGGGAACACAAGCAGGGGGAGTGGGAGAAGGAGAAGCAGACTTCCTGCTAAGCCAGGAACCTGATGCGGGGCTTGATCCCAGGACTCTGGGATCATGACCTGAGCTGAAGGCAGACACTTAATGACTGAGCCACCTAGGCACCCCTGTCTTTGTCTTATTAAGGAAATGAATATCATTATATTTAGCTTGAATAATTATCCTGCTTTTTTTTTTGGCAAAAGCTCCTGCTTTGTGTGATTTCAAATCACTCTACCTACCTCCCTTTGGCTATACCAGAATAGCCTAAATTTAAAGTACACATTTTAAAATCTTTAACAAAACATTTTATGTTAATAACTAAAAATTTCATCATAACTGTAAGACAACTTCTGTTTCTAGACAACTTAAGTGAGCTGGAAGCCATTAAACCCTCCTTTCTTGTACAGGATTCTTCCCGTGAGTCTATTATTTATTCAAGCATGCGCTTTTTTAATTAAAAAAACATTTTTTTTAATGCATTGTTACCCATTTGGTAAATAGTGAATTTCTGAAATCATGCTGATTTCCTGGCCGTCAACCTCATCTCTTGGCTTGGTTCTGAGAGAAAGAGATAGAGTGAGAGAGTGTGCACATGCACATGCATGTGCCTTGCACAGGGGAGTTAAGGATGGAGAGCAGGATGCAATTCACAGATGTATTCAAATGTAGAGAAAATGTATATTTTGTATATATTAATATTTATAACCTTATTCAATGTCATCTGCTTTTTTGGACTCATTAGCGGTCTTGTTTTTTGATAATACCCAACTAAAAATACAAGGATTTTTAAAAAGACATTGTGGGATATTCACTTAAAGCTTACCGATATATTTAAAGTGTTTACTGACATTAGGGAGATTCAAATGGTTTTAACCACATTGAGATACCACCTTACACCAGTTAGAATGTCCAAAATTAGCAAGACAGGAAACAACATGTGTTGGAGAGGATGTGGAGAAAGGGGAACCCTCTTACACTGTTGGTGGGAATGCAAGTCGATGCAGCCACTTTGGAGAACAGTGTAGAGATTCCTCAAGAAATTAAAAATAGAGCTTCCCTATGACCCTGCAATTGCACTACTGGGTATTTACCCCAAAGATACAGATGTAGTGAAAAGAAGGGCCATCTGTACCCCAATGTTTATAGCAGCAATGGCCACAGTCGCCGAACTGTGGAAAGAACCAAGATGCCCTTCAACGGATGAATGGATAAGGAAGAGGTGGTCCATATACACTATGGAGTATTACGTCTCCATCAGAAAGGATGAATACCCAACTTTTGTAGCAACATGGATGGGACTGGAAGAGATTATGCTGAGTGAAATAAGTCAAGCAGAGACAGTCAATTATCATATGGTTTCACTTATTTGTGGAGCATAACAAATAACATGGAGGACATAGGGAGATGGAGCAGAGAAGGGAGTTGAGGGAAACTGGAAGGAGAGGTGAACCATGAGAGATTATGGACTCTGAAAAACAACCTGAGGGTTTTGAAGGGGCGGTGGGTGGGAGGTTGGGGGAGCCAGGTGGTGTAGGTATTAAGGAGGGCACGTATTGCATGGAGCACTGGGTGTGGTGCAAAAACAATGAATAATGTTACCCTGAAAAGAAATTAAATTAAAAAAAAAAAAAGAATATGCACATAAAGATTCCCCATGCCTTAACATGAATTGATAAGCTAACATCTTGTTAGCTTCCAAGTTTTTGCAATTATAAATAAAACTGTTATAAACAAAACAAAACAAAACAAAAAATAAAAAAAAATAAAGTGTTTACTGATATGTTACCTAAAGTCATTAAAAATATGGGGATATATAGCTATGTTTCTTAATGGACTGCATCCTATATTCTGCACATTTAAAAATACTAATATTTAAATGTCTATATTTATGGTTAGAAGAATTAAAAAAAATTAAGTAAAGCTACTAACAATTTTGTTAAAAACAAGGCTATTGAAAAACAATCTGAGGGTTTTGAAGGGGCGGGGGGTGGGAGGTTGGGGGAACCAGGTGGTGGGTATTAGAGAGGGCACGGATTGCATGGAGCACTGGGTGTGGTGCAAAAACGACGAATACTGTTACGCTGAAAAAAAAACAAACCAAAAACCCAAGGCACTTTATCATACAAAACACACAATTACAAAACAAGTAACTTCAATTCTGACTTTTTTCCCTCCCAATTTGGGGATTCTTAGGCAGAGGTTAAAGGGAGGTATATGTGCCCTCTGATAATCCTATAACGCATATATACTTTTTTCCCTATAGAGAGACTTGTAAAAGTATTTGTCATTAATCCAGCAAGTCAGTCAGCAAATATAAAAAAAATATTTCGTGTATTCTATAACTTGACTATTAGCTTATTAAAGACTATAAATCAAATACCAGAAATCTGCTCAAAATCAAAGTAATATTCAACATAATGAAACTAAAATACAGCACAACATAGAGATGTATGTTCATGTTTCCATCAAATAACGCTATTAAACTTGCTTTAGGTGCCTTAGGATTTATCTCGAGGACACTGAATGATGAGTTGATTTAGTCAACTGAGCAAAGAGCAGTAACAATAAACAATAAGCAATAAAACCAGGTAAGCCTGATGAAAAGACTCACACAGTAATTTCTTGTGATCTTACTGTGTGCTGGACACTATGCTTTACTCACATTGTGTTATTCACTGTAGTCTTGTGAACTGGATAGGACTCTCACCGTCATTTTATGAATGAGGAAACTGAGGCCTCTGGACATGATGACATGTCATCTGGATTCTGAGGAATAGGCTGAGGTGTTTATCGGCAGAATGAAGGAAAGCAGGAGGGGAGTGAGCTTCAAACTCTTAGATGGTGGTAATCTATCTACTTTCTCACTGAATACCAAAATTCTTTTTAATAAATGGCAAATGCTGAAAGCCATATGTGTTTTAGATGTTCCTAACTGAAGTAAACTCGATTTACGGTATAGAATCTTACGGAAAACAGAGATGCATGTGTTCTCATGCGGCAAATTCCTAATAGATGTTGTTATTCTTTGGAATTAAGATGTAAATAAAAATGGATTTATGGTGATGTAAATAAAAAGTTTCAAGAGGTCAGGTTAACTCTGTTTGTTTGTTTGTTTTTGGTTCCATAATCTAGATATATATGAAGACTTCACAATGATTACTATTTGGTATTCTCTAGAAAAGCCTCAATAGACTTCCTTGTTTTGCATGTTACTCCTGCAAAAAGGAGTCTTTGAAGTTCAAATTACACTTTAAATGTAAATGTCATAAATTGCTCCTTGTATTAAGGAACTGACCACCTACAATGCATAATACTAGAAAAGACATCTTTAAAATCTTTAATACTCCTGAAGACAACAAAATTATATTCAGGTATAGGAAATTAATATGAGTAGGTTAGAGAGAGGGGTGGAATTTGGAAGTTGAAAAGAATCTTACCAAAGTCTGCAAATGCGGACTGCCCGACCACCATCATATTTTGAGGTTTTTCAAATATAGTACTGAGAGAGAAATTTCCATCCTGTTAATGGCAGAAAATTTTGGGTTAGACTATCATAATTCATTCATTTGTCAAGTGTGAAAGAAAGCATTTAAACTGAAGCAGGGAAATAAATAATTTAAGGCTTTTGTTGTACTGTACAAAAATTATTCTACTTTCCTATAATACCTTTATCATTAAAAAAAAAAAAGAAACTGCTGTGAGTTGATAAAGATTGCCTGGAGTGCTTTTCTGCTGTCCCTTTCAGTTGTATATCCTTTACTAAATCTTCTTTATAATTTCAGATGTAATGACTGTCTTCTACTTTCAAGTACCATGGAAACAGTATTATATTTGGTATATTCTTTATATTTGGTAAAATAAAGAAGTATGAAAAAACATTCCTACCTCGAGGGAGCTTATAGCCCAGTTGGGAGATAAGATATGTGAGGGAAATAGAACTTCTGAAGGTAATATATATAAATGGTACAAGTAGCAAAGACACTATGTTTCACAGATTTCAAAGATTTCTATTGGGCATAATTAAGAAAAAATTAAGATTCAAATGAAATGAGAATTCCACTGATCCTTACAGAGCTAATTACTTAGCAATTCAAGTTTATGTATCATTGAGAAAAGGGAGTAAAGGATTAAGACTGGCAGGTACTAGGGGTGGCTAAGCTAAATAAAAAAAGAAAACCCATTAGAGATCATTTGTTTCAGTTACTCTTTCTAAAATGGAGAATTACACATCTTACTTATAAAAATATGCATTTCTTTAAATTATTCTTTCCTTTCTATAATTTTAGGTGACAATACAAGAAAAATCAGCCAAACCTGAATTTGGGATCTGAAGCACTCTTTTTATCACTGACATCTTTATTTACTATTTGACATACTGACTCTGATTACTACATACTTTATACAGTTATCTATATGTTGAAGAATATTTTAAACATTATTTTTTTCCCTCTAAGGATATTGCAGATATGCAAGTTAGTTTCTTTCTTTCTTTTTCTTTCTTTCTTTTTTTTTTTAAGATTCTATTTATTTATTTGACAGACAGAGATCACAAGCAGGCAGAGAGGCAGGCAGAGAGGGAGAGAGGGGGAAGCAGGCTCACCGCCGAGCAGAGAGCCTGATGCCGGGCTTGATCCCAGGACCCTGAGATCATGACCCGAGCCGAAGGCAGAGGCTTTAACCCACTGAGCCACCCAGCGCCCCGCAAGTTAGTTTCTTAAGAAATCCCTTCTGATATTTACAAAGAAAGGCATTGTTGCATTAAAAACATGAGGACCAAATGCTTGAGGAACATGAGTAAGTGGGTAAGATTTGTCTTGTGACAGACAATTTTCTAAACATTTTAACACTATTATCTGCATGCAGAAATATGTTTTCCCTACAATTACTAATATATCTGATATACTTTTTGAATGATCTTTCTATAGAAATCCTATTTACATAGTGTCTTATACCTTATGAACACCCTCCAGTCTTACCGATACCTGAAATTACATTACAGATGTATCAAAGGTGCCCAAGTTCTGATTGAAGTGTCAGGTGTTTTGGCATTTTAGAAAGACCATAGCACTGGGTACAGAGTGGACATAATGGTTCTAGAGATTCATTATAGAATGAATGGAAAAATCTCTTTTAAAATACATCAGCTTCATGTAACATAAAATAGAATATCAACTCATTATACTGATTCAAGTGAACAAACTACTCCAGTGAAAATATGTTAAACTTAGTAAATATACCTAGAAATATTTCTGGATATAACTTTACAATGTATCTCCATCAAGAAACACTAAGTACTTCCGAGGTGATGGCCTTCCATGTCTAAGATGCCACATGAACCCTGAACCTCAATAGAAGTAAAGTAATACTTCCTTCCAACCACTGGAGAAAGAGAATATATTCTTGGTATAGTCTAGTAGAAAGGTCACTAGACATGGAGTTAGATAACAGGGGTTCTAGTCCTGCTTTCATTGGCAAGTCATATCACTTTGGGACAGCCATTACTGCTCTGGGTCTCAGTTTCTTAACAGTTTAGTAGGGGATTAATGTACTATCTACTTGAGCATTCTAGAGAGGATCAGTGCAATGATAGATTAGAAGTATTCTGCAAAATGTGAACTTATCAAGCTCTTACATGGTATTTTTATAATGGCAGTCCTGTGCTTTTAGGAGCTGCAAGTGCTTTTATCATGGGCTGCTTTTTGACACTAATACACTATGTTCTATCCCATTCTTTACCATGCTGTTCTTACTGGCCTCCAATGTGTCCCTACAATCCAAAGTTGGCTTAATTCACTAGGGGTTCTGCTGCAGTTATGTCTTTTGCCTTTCCTTTTGCCTATAACCATATGAAATGACTGTACAATGATTTAAGCATAGAAATTTTAGAGACAGATTTCCTAGTTCAACTTCTAGCTCCACTGTTTGCTAGCATTCAGATCTGAGTAAGTTAGTTCTAATCTAAGCATTTGTTTACTTATCTTGAGAATGTATTTTTTTTTAAAGATTTTATTTGTTTATTTGACAGAAAGAGAGAGATCACAAGTAGGCAGAGAGGTAGGCAGAGAGAGAGAGGGGGAAGCAGACTCCCTGCTGAGCAGAGAGCCCAATGCGGGGCTTGATCCCAGGACCCTGAGATCATGACCTGAGCTGAAGGCAGAGGCTCAACCTACTGAGCCACCCAGGTGCCCCTTGAAAATGTATTTTTACAAAGCTTTTGTGAGGATTAGTGAGATAATCCATATAAGGTGCTTAGTAGAATATATGCATATATTCACTATTATCACAAGTAGGAACACTAGTAGTAATACCACTACTTCTGCTACCAAAACTACCACCTACTATTGAAGCAGGTAACCCACTGGCATCGACAGAGGAAAGTATCTGCCATTTTCTGTTTTAACGCCAACCACAAGTGCAATGTTGTAACAAGTATCTTTTTGTAGATGACTACCTATGCTTTGGCCTGCACGCATTTTGTTGTTGTTGTTTGTTTGTTTGTTTTTAGAGAGAGAGAGAGAAAGGGAGATAGGGAGGAAGAGAGAATATTAGGTAGGCTCCAGTGTGGAGACTGATGCAGGGCTCAATCTTATTACCTGAGATTCTGACCTGAGCTGAAATCAAGAGTTGTATGCTTAACTGACTGAGCCACGTAGGTCTCCCCAGCCCACGTGTTTTAATATTTAATGTTAAAACTCTTATATGTACAGTGTTTGAAAAAAATGACCAAGAAGCAGTATCTGATGACTATTTTGTGTCTACAGTTTTATTCATATACAGCAATGATTTTCAACCGGGGGTGATTTTGTTCTACAGGGGACACTGGACAATGTCCGGAGATCTATATGACTGTCATAACAGGAGCTAGCTACTAGCATCTAAGTCAGAGACTTACAACCTAGTAGACAAACAACCTACAGTGCATAGGACAGAACTATACAATGAAGAATTATCTGGCCTCAAATGGTAATAATGCCAAGATGGAATTCTGACATAAAGGGTGATGGGTAAAGCCCAATGACTTTGCCATTCTTGTCCTAGCTGCTCCCCTTTGTGACACTTATTTAGTCTCTTCTTTGAGTTCTAGTCTTACAATTCTAACTACCTCCTTGATACGTCTCTTATCTGAAATAATATTTTCCCTGCCTCAAATCAGGTATTTCATTCATCTTATTTGTTACTAGTCACTAATAGAAAACACAAGTTAACCTTTAATTAATGGTCTTTCTCTCTAACATTTATCCTTTGTAGGCCATTTTTGATACTTTAGTCCTTTAATCATTCATCTCTTTTTCAGGTTATAGTAAATTCTATCTAAATTATCTCCCTGCCTCTAGATTTTCCATGCAAACTTATCTGATATGGAGTAGCAAGATAACTGCAATAATGAAAGCTCTTTTCATCTCACCTTCAGTCCTAAAACATTAAAAGTTTCTTAGTAAATACTTAAAAGGTCAAATGACAGTTTAGAAGTCAAGACTTCTGCTGATCTTACCTAAACCAATTCTTCTAATCTAACTTTTCAGTATCTTTTCATGCTCTGGCCCAAACCAGCCACATTCTGTTCTCTGAATATTCTGAGTTTCCTCTGTACTTCCTTGCCCACTTTTGTCACTTGCCACTTTTTGTCACTTCCAACCATTAATATCCTGCTCATTTATACTGGCCACTTCAAATACCAGATCTTTCTTGAAGTCCTCCCTAATGATCCTAAGTAGACCAAATGGAAGCAATTGCTCTGTCTTTGAGCTACGTGTAGCATGAGGTTTGTATATCTCATCAAACCAGTCGGAGTTCCCCACATTCACATCTTAGTCCTTTTGGCCTATAAACTCTCTTAACTCTTCTGCCTCCTAGAGTACCTTCATGGGACTGTGTGGACAACTGCATTCTAACAAGATTTGCTGATGCTCTAGTTCTACTACCTAATAGGATTTCAAGGTTGTTTTTTTTTTGGTTAATAGTGAATACTACAAATTGTTTCCCCAATCTCTAACTGAAAATAATCCTCCATTTTATAAAACCTACACTTTATCTGAACTAATTGAGTCTACATTTCTCTTAATTTGCACCAGTGATTTTTTAATTGTTAACATGGGTACCTTACTGATCCAGCTGTTTTGCAGCAAGAACAATCCTTAGTCTCTATTGTCCAATAGCCAATTTATTAATTTTCTTTAAAGTCAACAATAATAAAAAGGATCAAATCAAAATCTTGTCTCTTCTTGATGATTTTTTTCCTACTACATTGCTTTACTATGTTTTATTCAGCAGGTTGCCAATACTTTCAAGATGAGACAAACCCAACTTCCTTAATATGTAATAACAGAGAGTTAGACAAACGGGAAAACAGAGGAATATTTTTGAATGAAAGAACAAAACAAAACCACAGCAAAAAAAGCTAAATGAATGAAGATAAGCAGTACACATAAAGAATTCAAAGTAATGATCACAAAGCTATTTAGTGGAGTTGAGAAAAGAGTGTAGAATTTCAGTGAGACAAAAGTTTGAAAATATACAAT